TGCGGTCCCTGAGACTGTGACCAGAGCAATGGGTATCATCTACCCACCCACCCACCGCAAACATGCACACATACACGTACGCGGTTGCGCAAAATTGTGCCACTCACTTTACCCCCCAGGCTATGCTTGGTAGTAGTTCAGAGGATTCTTAACGCCCAAAGTGGCGATTTAGTGAAAAGTGAGATACTGCTTTCTGGTGCTGAGCAAGCTGAAAGACCAAATTATGGGAGTCAGAGACAAACAGCGGGGCTATACACAAGGTATGCCGAAAACACAAGTCTTAAATTTCACCGATGAAGTGAAGTCTCGCCGAGATTCCTCTCAATTATTTAAGTTTGAAAAAATATTTCCAAAAAAATAAGATGAAATGTACGGATGAAATATGTGGTATTTCTGTCGCTGTGTCTGTGTCAGTGGGTTATGTGTCATATTTTTGATTGTCTTTTGGTTCCAACATCACATTCTTAAGTTCTGTATCTTATAAGCTACACACTAAAGATTTAACCCCAGAATAGAGAAAAGTGTAGGCAAATTTTCATGTGGAGCAAACTCCACTCTGCTTGAAAGCAGGTTAAAGAATTCCTTCCCCAGGTTCGGGTGCTTGCCCCAGGCTTATGCAAGAATAACAGGGGCAACTTCAAGCGAGTTTGAGAGTTGCCCATGTTAGAATCCTACACTACAGAGACCATCCACCAATAGGGTGAGAGTCTTACCAATCAGCACTGAAGATGCTCCACTTCTGTGTATGATCTGGGCTTATTTTCATCCGCTTACATGCAAACGTGTGTATGATTCACACACACCAAAGGGCTGCACTGTGAAACAGTTTTATTGGCTTTGTGAGGATTCATGCGGCTTACTTCCGAGTTTTGCCTACTACAAATCGAAGTTCAGTTTTAAACAGGGTATATTGTCACAGTAATTTACACTCCATGCCTAACCTGCTTTGAGCAGATTTAAGTGCAGGCTTTTGCTTAAAAGAGGTGGAAGTGCTATCCATTCACCAAAAACATATATATGAACTGTCCCATTCACAAAAAATACATCCTATATAAGACCTGTCCTTTGACTAAAATGTTGTGATGGGGAATATCACTAGTTTTCTTTTCAGTCTGATACAAAGGAAATGAATAGATTTTTATCCCGATACCAGAAATGAGGTGCTGGTCCCTTTACGGCCCCTCCCCCAGGAACAGATGAAATTTGCTGGGGCGGGTATTACCCACCCAAAGGTGGAGTTTGACATTCACACTTGCTTACCCCCGTGTGTTAATGCAGGTATCTGGTGCACTATTAGTTCAAGTCAAACTGAAGTTGAAGTCTTTATTATTAATTCTGCCATATGTACAGGACACTCGGAGGGTTGAAATGACGTTTCTCTCAGACCCCACAGTGAACACACTAACAACAACAAGCAAGACAGATACAAGTATTCAAGTATATACATGTATGCAAATAGAAATGAACAAGATTAAATACTCTGTGCAAAAAGATGTAAATATGGTGTATTCACTTGTAGGTTTTGTTCATTATTATGCCTATCTGCAGGGTACCAAAAAAGTGCTTATGCACAATTACAAAGTGCCAGTATAGAACAGGGTCTTGTCTAATGATTGCAATTTCAACGCAGGCAACTGAGGGGGGGGGGGGGGGGCATTTCTTCTCGTTGTCCCTCTGAAGCTCCACCCAGGTATTACTTACTTCCTACCTATTCAAAAGGCAGTGTTTAATTTGCATCCTTAGCTTTCAATGCCAACAAAGTGCGAACCCAGTGTGAACTAACCCTGAATTAACCTACCGAGTTGATAACCACCATCATAGTGCCATTTAACACTGATTGTGAAAATCAGGGTTAGTTAACCCAGTTCTACCAACTCTGGGTATGTAAAACTCATGTTGTAGTACACCCACCGCTTTGGAGAACAAGGGAATACAGAAAATATGTGTAAATGTCAGTCCAAAATTTTTGTTTGAAGTGCAATCTTAAATTAAAATAAATCCTTTTTGAATTTCTGAAGCCTTATGGCTATCAAACACACCCAATATCTGGCTACTTTACAATAGTGATGCCACTTTAATTTTAGGCTCTCTGTAGAATTAAAGCTGTATTTGTTCATAATATTATTGAGTAATGATTCTTCTGCCCGTTGACTTCGCCAGACTGAGTAACAGAATCAGTCTGTGCCATACTGAGCGAGTATACTAAATATTTTATCCTTAAAATAGCCCTCAAAAATGTACAGTTAGATGAGATCCTCTGAGCCTATGACTTTATAAAGTAATGTGGAATGACAGTACATCATTCTGTCATTCTGTATGCTATTCTGGCTGAGCGCTACTGTTGATGGATTAGTGACCATGGGACCAGCTTGGCCCTTGTGTTCTGAAGTCCTTACCGTCTGCCTCCCTCACAGACTCTGTTTGAGGACACAAATCGCATCCTAGAAATGGCTGTCATCTGCAGGTTTGATGCCCTCTGCTGTTTTGTGAGTTTGGGTCCATCAAGCTCTGGGAATAGTGATTGATCACTGCCATGAAGCCAATGCTTATGTTGGAGATTTCTCACTATTTCTCACTATACTTACTTAAAAGATCTGATGTAAAGAATTTGTAAAGGCTGGAACCACTAAGCCGATTTTCAGCCATTGAAAGGTGTCAGGCTGTTTATGACGGTCGATGACTGCCTGTCGCGCTGGTGTGTGCAGCACGGTCAGACACAGTTGGTCCTGGTTGGCGTTGTTTTGGCTGATTGAACATGTTGAATCACCATTGAAGCTAGTTGCTGAAAATGAGTTGTCTGCTTGAGCTGTATATTACCCATGACCTCTAATCGTGCTGGCGTGTTCCGTCGAAAATTTTCACGATCAACAGGATGGCATGAGAGCTGATTGTTTAATCGCCTTGGGTCAGTGTTGTTTTTTGCCATCGGTTTGGTGTGTACCCAGCTTTAAACAACCTGTCATTTGTCTACCAGTTATACAGCTAAAATATTTACTAGTAACACAAAGGAAATGCAAACTATTTAGAGCTTATATAGTTTGTGTTTGTTAGCTTTTTTGTCTTTTTTAAACCGTGGTACAGAACAATGGTCAGAATTTTATCCTAACTCTTTTCTGGTCTCACGGTGCGATTCAAAGTTTCCCTTTGAAGTGTGTCAGATCACTTCAAAAACTCACAGAGGAGGAACAACGTTGGGTCCTCCTGGAACACACGAGTGAGTCACAAGCGGGTCTGTCTTTCTCAAGGCATGAGTATCGCTGTGGCCCCTTCTCCGAAGCTGCCCCGCCCATCTCCACCAACACAAACAGCCAAGTTCACCACTGCTCTCCAGAGACTATGCGGCAGCCTCAGTCATTCTTACTGTGTGCGTTGCTCCAACGGGCAAAGCTGCCCTATCACGAACGTTCCTGTGAACAATAGCCGCGTTGGCACCAGAAGGTGTGGGGGCCAGTCACATGTGCCGTCACAGGCACAATGGTGAGCCATTGCATACATGAAACACAAAACTGGCACGTATCTTATAAGGACCGCTTCTCACTACCCATCTTTCTTTTCCCACAGAATGAAGAATATTGGACGTCACAGGTTTACATTTCATGGCAGAGGTGCGGAAGCTCAGTTTCGATCGAATATGTGCAGGATAAATGGCCTGCATGCTGCCCAGTATGAACTTGTTAATGAGGAACATGCTGCTCTCGCCCTGAGTCAAGCCCGAGGAGATATGCGCCTCTGATGAGGCTTTGGCAAACGAACAGGGTGGCTCAGCAGAATGTCTTCCAGGACAGCCCGGGGTTTTTCACCAGTGAGCGTTTGAACTCGGGGGGTGATGTGATTCTGCCAAATCTCCCCCCTGTACAGCTGGAATGTTTTGCTGACATTAGAGCTCCCATCATTCAAAGGATGAAGATTTATTCTCCTGCAATGTGTGTCTCAGTTCCTGTTTTTAGCCCCGCGGAGCCACACATGTTTCAACGCACTCGCCTCTGACGCTATAATCGAAGAGGGGGCTGTACTTCATCCGTCTACAGAGATGGGAAAGTTCAGGTCCAGAAAGTGAAAATCCAGACCAAAGTTTTGTTTTGACCAACCAGTTGAGGATAAAGAGTCACAGTCACAGAGTACTCAGCTGTTTGGTTGAGACAAAACCTTGGTCTGGAATTGTACTTCCTGGACCTGAACTTTCCACCTCTGCCCAACTTAATGAAGTGTACAGTTTATAACACTTCGCACTGGTGTCTTTTTAAAACACTTTATGTTAAAAATAAATATCTCGTGTACATTTATGACTTTGTTTTCAGATGCCTGGAACAAGCACACACTACCTCAGTGGTTTATCTTTACTTAGTTTTGATGTCCTCTTGGCGGGGTGGGGGGGGGGGGGGCATTGACACAATCCCTCCTGGGACTCCAGGACGGGAAATTACTGCCGCTTACACAAATACTTCCACGCTAGCGGAAGCAGTCTGCTGCTGAAGGTTGTAAACTAATAATCTGACCAGTGTGGGAAAGGGTAGTGCTGGCTTTGGTGACCAATTTTATGCACTTACACTTAACCTTCTCCCGGTCAGATACGTGATTAATGATAAATGATTAACAACAGTAGCAATGAAGTAATTACAAGCAAGCAAGTTTTCTGAGCTAGCAGCTGGATCTCTGTGTCTCTGATTGGATAAGTGATTACCGAAACAATAAATATGAGCGTGAAAACACAATGATTAGTTTCCCAGACTGGAACAAAAGACCTCGTCTGAGACACAGGGATATAATGGATGGGCGAATCAAACAAACAACATAAGAATTGACTGTTTTGCTCTCTAACCAACAACTACAAACCCTCAAGAGCTGGGTCTGGCCTCCCCCCCCTCACAAACAGTGCAAACCGACTTTATACAATGACAGGTGAGTGCAGGGGATTCTCGCCCAACCACATCCCTTCCCC